TATGCTACGCAGCCAATAACTTGTTTATCTGGCTGCGAATTTGATATGTGTCATTTCTTGGCCCCTTCGGGGCCCAGAAGCTGACATATCAAATTCGCAGCCAGATAATGAATTATTTTACAAATAATTCTCGTTATTGGCTGCTTCGCATCCAATAACTATATATTATTCTGCGGACTTTATAGTTCTTTGATTGGATTTATTCCGGCACTTTTGATTAACCGGCAACTTTCCAATCACATGACCGCTCGCACCTCTTTTCGAGTTATTTTTCTAACGTACAAGATTGACAATAATATTATCATGAAACGAATTATTGATGTTTCATACAGGCCAAGTCTTCCATGTCTCGATCTAAACTTAGCACTATTAGGGCTTAGAGTGGTTTTAATTGTTGTTATTAGTGTGACCATTATCCCGACGAATCCTGGTTTCCATCGTCATAATTTATGTTTTTATGTAAATACATACGCAATATTTGTGAACTAGTAATAAAATACAGTATAGTGCAGCCGAACTTTCTTAGATGTGATTCGATGAAAAATATAGATATTAGATAATTACATATAGAAAATGTCAAATTTTATTGATTACATTTAGGGGGTTGTATTTTTTAGGGAGTTAAAACAGAAACATGCATGTTATTACAAATAATTAGTTAAATTAAATGTATCTTAAATATAAATAATTCGTGTGACAAATGGATTTTTTTCTTTTAAAATAGTAAATTTTAAATAACGATATTATATACGAATAAAAATGGTATAAAAGCGGTAAGCCAAAAAAAAAAAAAAAAAAGAATTAACGGTTTTAATTTGTTTAACGTTAATCGGCTTTTGGCGAGTAATTTTGACAAAGACGATAAATTTTAAGATAGTAAAAAAATTTAGCGATAATAATAAATAAAGCTTTTTTTTTAGATCCGTTTTAAAACCTATCCGGATTATCCGGATATATGAAAAGTGTAAATATAGTCTATCGTTACTTATCTTATCAAAACAGAGATCGCAAAAGATGATACTAGATCGATGATGCTGAACTCATGATATAAACAAGTGTCAAAATTTGTATAATGTAAAATAAACAAATTAAAATTTACAGATTTGTTTATCTATCAAAATACTATAATCATTGTCTGTATCAGTAAATTTAAATGGTTAAGAATAAAGTTCGGCACCACCAAAGAGAAACAATGCCACTTTATTATTAACTAGTTTTAGAATTAAGCGTATTTTATTAACTAGTTTTAGAATAAGCGTATTAACGTTAACTGGCCTAAAGATATGTAAGCACGTACGTAAGCAAAGAATTATGTACAAAGTATTAAAAAATATTAATATCAAAGAATAATTTAGTATAATTTAGCATAAAGTTAGAACTTTAAAATTTCATAGTTTCAATAACTTTGAATTTGTGGATTTTAACGATTGGTTTTACTTAAATATTTCAAATGCATAATAAAAGTATAACAAAAGTATAACAAAAGTATCACTGAAAAAATTACAAGTATATTTCACATGAAATTGGAAATATTATTCTCTATTCGCTCTTGATATTAGGTTCTTTATTTAAACAATACTGTGTAATTTTAATATATGCAGCCACTTAACTTTGAAAGTAGAATATTATTTGTTAAAGTTACTGCAAAAAATAAAACTTTTTTGACGTGCTTAAACAATTACGGAATAATAGAAATTTTGCGATAAAACTTCAATACGTACGTATAGTATATACGTACGTACATATATACGTAAGTATATACGTAAGTATATACGTAAGTACGTACATACGTACGATACCAGGTACTGTACGAACGTAGTAATTAGTGGTAAGTACATCCTAAGATTAAAAGCAATCAACTATTATATTAATAATATAATATGAATAATATAAATATTTGGCCTGACATACATTTAATTAACAGAAATAATAATGATGAAATATGACGGTTTGTAAATATTTTTAAAAATTGAATTATGAATCAATAAAAGATATTTCAATAATAAAGCACAAAATACCTAAAAAGTCCTTAATAGATTATCGTACAAACTAATTTAATATATACATAAATGTTTTAAATGAATTTTATTGTTTGTTTCACCAAAGATTTTGATAAGTACCAATATAACTAATATAAAATGATGAAATTCACGCATCATTAAAATTTATAATTTTCTTTTTTCACCCATTTAACTTAACATTTCGAGTATCCTGACAATGTTCTATGGTTCGCGATGGACAAATAAAAGAGTCTTAGGAATGAAAAATGATTATGATGATGGCCAGATGTCACCGGTCGATGATGAAGAAATTCTAAATGTAGAAAGAGGCGATTATTTCCATCCGAGTACTAATAAGGATGTTATAAGATTACAAATGCAACATTTTCTTCTTAGATACATCTGGGAAGGAAATTATTCGTCACCGATCCATGATAAATTTATTGATGGAGGTGTTAGAGTGTTGGATATTCAGTGCGTATTCTATCATTATTTATACCTGTCTGTATTAAGCGTATTAAGAACTCATGAATTAATGTAAATTAATGTATTAAATTTTACTTTAGATGTGGTTCCGGAATCTTCATTACAGATCTAGCTACTGAGTATCCGACATCAACCTTTATCGGTATTGATGATGATGAAGCTCGTGCTCGTATACAAATCGAATTGCCAAATGCTGAATTCATTCATCACAATGATATGTTAGAAGGGTTACCATTCCCAGGTTAATATTTTACAAATTCGTTAAATGAAAACTCTTTGATATTATAGTATTAATAAAATTTTCTTTATTTCTAGATGATACTTTTGATTTAGTGAGCCAAAGACTTTTCACGACAGTATCCATTAATAAATGGGAAATGTTTATCTTTCCAGAAATTATTCGTGTATTGAAACCGAATTCATATTTTGAATTTATGGTTAATATTCTTTTTATTGAAATTTTATAATGATCACTTTTAAAAATTTCTAATCAAGTCTAATCAAAGTATGATCATGTATGGTTTTTAACATATATTTATAGGAAATTCCAGTTTGGAATAATATGGGCTCTGTGACGAAAGAGATACTGAAATCCTGTATGTATCTCGTTTTTAGATGATTATGTGAATATGAGTTTTTTTTATTTTTTTGAAAAGTTATTAATACAGTTATTCATTTTCAGACGACGAATATTTAGAAACAATAAATGTTTACCATACGGAACCTCTCTTATTAGAACAGATTATAAAACGCTCAGGACTCGTAAAAAATGTTAATTGTTGTTCAAAAACTACTCATTTATGGAAAGGAATGATCGGTCAATTGGTAATTTTTGTTTATATTATATTTATACTAATACGTTGATATCCGTTGAAATCACGTGCATCGTAACAAAACTAATTTTTTTTTTTTCTTTATTGCGTAGCTTTTTCGAAATCAACTTCAAAAAATTGAATCACATAAATCTGGTCTATGTGCATATTTGAAAATAAGCGAAAAGCAATTTGACAGTATGTTAGAAACGATGCAAGATGAAATAGTAAACTATAAGAGCTCCCTCACAACTTATAGGTATTTTTTCTTCATATTTAAATCTCTAAGTTTTCTTTTTATTTTAAAATTTTTATAATAAACTTTTTTTCGTTCTTTCTTTTTAGAATTTATGGGGAAAAAATTTAAGCCTTAATTGTACACATTATACACATATCTACACTTTCTATGAATATATTTATTTATATAAGAATATTTAATGTAATATAATTCTTGTATTATTGTTATTATTATTACTAGTATTATTACTATGATTGTAAATATACATATACGTCTTCCTTTATTTTTACTGTTTCAAATTCTGTATATGCTATACATATGTTTACTGTATATAAATATATATTATTTATCCGACCATTCCAATGTATCACAAAATAGAATATCTGTTTATGTTAAATAAATTTTGATTTTTTTTCCGTTCGTTTTCAAATAATTTTGACATATCTGAATTACTATAAGAATGATGGTACGTATTTGTATATTGTATAATACATATTATCAATACGTATTTAACCATATTTAGTTTCTTGGCATGCCGTGTCACTATAAAAATTTGACATTTTTTCATTTTACCTTTTTTTTATTATCTTTACACGCTTGTCATTTTACCTTATTTGGTATATCTTATTATTTATTTATCTCTTTGTTATACATTGCTTATATTTTTGTATATTCGATATTCGCGCTATACCGTTTTTGGCATAATCACATTCATAAATGTTAAGAAGCGTACATTGAAGTGTAATGAAATTGAGAGTTGATGACGCCATTACTGTTACGTAAAGCATTAATCATTACTAAGCGTAATTGTATAGTAGTTATGAAAAAGGTAATTTATTTAAACATGATTGTAGGTGCCAGAGTACGTAGCTCAGATATATATATATATATAAATTATAGTTTCGTACGTACGCTGCTGTGTGCTCGCGTGATTATGTTTAGGACAATAACGCCAGATAATAAGGTCGTTTGAATTATAACTTCATTTTACGTTACTTTTTTTTTTTTTGAAATTAAATAAACATAAAAAAATAAACATATGGTGTGCCGAAAAATCCAAAAATTCCGATTACCGAGCGACATTTGTCGACCAATCAACGTTTCAACGTTGTTGACACTCTACT